AATAAAGGCGATGACTGTTTCAGAATGATGATAAGATCTGCATTGTTCCTAGTGGATTCTAAAATTGCAAATAGACCTTCTAGCTATCTCCAAAACGACGGACTAATCCTTGATGGTATAGACAAACCTACACCAATCTCACAAATTTATAAGGCGTAAGAGCAAAATAATTTAGCTATAAATGTTTTTGGACATTCCCATAAAGGAATTGTTGTACACAGGATAAGCTCCACCCCGGAACATATTCCCAGAATCAATTCATTTCTGATCGAAAAAGATGGTAAATATCATTATAGGTGGGTAAAGAGTTTAAGCAGGCTATTATACGATCAAACAAAACATACGAGAAAGAAATATTTCTGTGAAAGATGCCTGCATGGGTACACCAGACAAGATCTATTAGAAGTGCATAAAGATGACTGCAGAGGTGTTGGACAGACTGCTGTCAGGATTGATATGCCTAAAGAGGGAAAAAATATATTAAAATTTGAACATTATTGTAATCAAATGCCAGTACCATACGTAATTTACACTGACTTCGAAGCACTTATCAAACCTATAGAAAATACCGACCACAATACTGAATGTAGTTTTACGTACAAAACTCAAGAACATATTCCTTGTGGGTTTGGATATATAGTTGTAAGGTATGATGGGAAAACAAACCCGCCCGTGATTTACAGAGGTCCCGATGCAGCGGGAAAGTTCCTAGAATATCTACAAAACGAAGAGAGAATAATCAGGGAAAATATATCGCGTAAGAAACCCATGTGTATGACGAGAGATGATTGGAGGGCCTATAAGAAGTCGACGATTTGTCATGTTTGTAATAAACCACTCAATGGGGATTCCGTAAGAGATCATTGTCCGTCACAGGTAATTATCGGGGAGCCGCTCATAACAAGTGTAACTTGAACCTAAAAATGAATTCTCAAACAATACCCATCCCTGTTGTGTTTCACAACCTTAGAGGATATAAATTCACATCTCATCATGCAAGCTATCTCAAAGACTGACAGCGATTAAACGTGCATTCCTAACAATATGGAAAAATATATATCATTCTCGTTGACTAAAACTATACATTTTACGGACAAGGATGGGAAAGCTAGAACAAAGCAAAGTAATAGACTTAGATTCATAGACTCCATACAGTTTCTGTTATCTTCCCTGGACAATTTAGCTAATGCGAACAATCCCGATGACTTCGCAATAACAAATCAATATACCGATCGGTTATTTGTTGCTAAGAAAAGGTGTATATCCTTACGAATATATGGATGATTGGGCAAGATTCGACGAAACTAAATAACCACCTTGAATCATTCTATAGTAACTTAACAGAATCTAAAATAACCGATGCCGATTATGAACATGCTCTGACGGTATAATATGGGATAAATTAGGTTGTAAGAATTTAGGTGATTATCACGATCTGTACTTAAAAACCGATGTAATGTTACTCGCCGATATATTCGAGATATTTAGAAAGACATGTTTAAAACAATACGGCTTGGATCCGGCATGGTACTATTCCAGTCCCGGACTATCATGGGATGCATTGTTGAAGAAGACCAGTGTAGAACTAAAACTACTCAACGATTACGATATGCACTTGTTTGTTGTGAAAGGATTAAGAGGTTGTATATCGATGATGGTGAAAAGGTATTCTAAGGCTAATAATAATTTAGTGGAAGGATATGATCCGAGTAAACCCGACACGCACATATTATATTTCGACGCCAACAATTTGTACGGATGGGCTATGAGTCAACCTTTACCCACGAGTGGTTTTGAGTGGATCGATGTGAATGATATTGATGTGAATGATATCCCCACAGACTCCGATAAAGGGTACATACTAGAAGTTGACTTGGTATATCAAAATTTGTTGCACAAAGACCATAACAGTTATCTGCTAGCTCCCAAAAGATTAATGGTGAATAAAGATTGGATGTCGGAATATCAACACTCCTTGATGGGTAATACTAGGTTAGCTAACGTAGAAAAACTCGTACCAAATTTGATGGATAAGACAAAATATATAGTTCACTACAGAAATCTCCAGTTATATCTATCGTTAGGTATGAAACTAAAGAAAATACACAGAGTTCTAAAGTTTGATCAAAGCCCTTTGATTGAGCCCTATATAAGGCTGAACACAGATTTAAGAAAGATAGCTACCAGCGATTTTGAAAAGAATCTATATAAGCTCAGATCTAATGAGGAAGAAAGACTCAGGAAACTTATAGCCAGTCCGGCTTTTAACAGAAGCAAGATATTTGATAACGACTTAGCCGCACTACATATGCAGATAAGTAATATAAAATTCAACAGACCAGTGTACATTGGTATGAGTATTCTTGACTTGTCAAAACACTTAATGTATGACTTTTATTACAACAACCTTAAGAAGCAATACGGCAATAGATGTGAGGTGTTATATACCGACACAGATTCTTTGTTGATGGAAATACAAACCGAGGATGTGTATAAAGATATGGCTGAAAAAATAGATATGTACGACACGAGCGATTACCCAAAAGAAAATCCACTGCACAGCGTAGTAAATAAAAAGGTATTAGGTAAGATGAAGGATGAATGAGCTGGGACTCCTATAGCGGAGTATGTTGGATTAAGACCTAAGATGTATTCTATAAAGAAGTCCGATAATGGGGAGATAAGAAAAGCTAAGGGTGTTAAGAAGTATGTAGTAAAAAAGCATATCAAACACGAACAGTATAAAGAAGCATTATTCAATGGTAGAACATTCAAACACAAGAGGAATATGGATTAAGAATGAACAAGACATCATTATCCCCCTTAGATAAAAAGAGATGGATTAATAAGGATGGTGTAACTACCTATGCTTATGGTTACTTAGGGCGGTAATGCTGTATCGTTGGGAACTATGAGCAACTCTTCTCGTACAAATGCCCTGCCTGGTCCATCTTTAAGATAATAAAGAATAGGCTCTCCTTCTTTCATAACCAATCGACTAATGTTATATATCTTAAGGGACCAAATCGGATCGGTTGCGCGACGTAGGCCTCCTTCGAGTTCACCGGGCTGGTATAAATATCTTACTCTTACTCTATCCGGAAGTTTTCGTTCTTTGCCTCTCCGCTGTGCTGAAGATTCAGAAGTCACGGATTTCATTTTAATCGCATCGGATGGTTACTTTATTATTCAGCGCTGATACAACAGCTGATAATCGTGTCACCCATTCAGTTGATCATAATCGTTCCGATTTCATTTCAATCCCATACTGATAGCCAAAGAAACGTTCCGCAAATGTCCGGTTAAATCTTTCGACGATAGCTTGACTACGGTGGGCCTCGTTTTCACCACGCCTGATATCAACATCGTGCTTTGTTAACAGTTTAGTTACTGATCCCATAAACTCGCGACCAGGATCTAAATCCAGTAAGACGGACATGACGTCACAATGTTTACCTTTATTAACCCATCAGCCCCGCATGAGGTTACTTTCTCCATTGTCACAAGCCACTAAACCGTGTTACCCTCCAGCCACCCCTTAGCTCCTCCTGTCTTTCATGGCTTCATGTATTCATGTGCATCATGTATGTGGTTTTCTTTGTGGATTCGCCTATATATATATATATATGTTATCTTCTGGGGCTGCCTCGGTGTCATAAGCCACTCCATACTCAGAGCATGGAAGGCGTGTGGCCCCCAAAGAACATTACGCTATTTCGGCACCGTCCGGTCAGCACGACCAGGACCAGCTTATCTCTAGGGATCGTCCGGGTCATCGGACCCCAGGACCGGCATATCCCTCCCACAGCTACACAAGTCCGGGTCCCTAAGACCCCAGGACATTCAGTCATCTTACCCGGGTCACTACGACCCCAGGGTGTCAACCCGGGTCACCTCGACCCCAGGGTCTCACATAGGCAACCAAGGCAGCCCCCACTTTATGCCAAATGTTTTATGTAAATATTGTATGTAATATAACTTCCTGCCATGTACTATATTTCATGTTGTTTGTGGCACAAATTGACAGGTTAATAATTAAACTACAAACAGGTCACACAAAACTAAACTCATATCTACATAAAATAAAGACACACAAAACAGGTAAATGTCCACACTGTAACCAACTAGAAACCCCACTCAACAGTGACTTATTTTGTATCTAAGACATTTCTCCACAAAATATGGGGATAGGCACTTGACATTGACTGTTGTTTCTCAGAAGTTTCTCTCCAAAATATGGGGATAGGCACTCAACAGAGACTGTTGTTTTGTATCTAAGACGTTTCTCCACAAAATATGGGGATGGGCACATGACATAGACTGTTGTTTCTCAGAAGTTTCTAGCCAAAATATGGGGAAAGGCACTCAACAGTGACTGTTGTTTTGTATCTCAGTCAGGTTTTTTATAAAATAGGCAATTGACAGTGACTGTTGTTTCTCAGAAGATTCTCAATAAAATATAGGTAGAGGCACTCACAATTAGCTTTTGTATCTCAGGATCTTCTCTACATAATGTGAGGATAGTCACTTGTTTAAGGTTCGTTTAAATATTATATTGAGGACATTTATTGTCCTGACGCATCAAATGGTTTTATATTGCACAGCTGCATTTTCTGTATTTGCTGGATTAGTTTGAATGACCTGATGAGCAAAAGCACCATTTGTAGATGTATCATACGTAAGGTTTATTAATCAGCAACATTTTGTCAGTATTAATGTAGTTGAAGTATACCTGATAATTACTTGACCTCATACATTCTGGTTTTTGGATGATAACTTTGACAAGTATCAACAGATTACAAGTGCATTCAGTAAGATGACACATATAAATACAGATCATGTTTGATAGTTAGCTAAATTGGTCAAGGTCAGAGGTCATATGCCACTAGCCCAAACAATGTGGCTTCCAGATGATAAATATATATTGAACCAATCTGTATGCAACACATACTTTCAGTTGAGCACATTTCTGAAAGCATTTCTGTTTCTTTATTTTTCAGGCCAAAGTTTGGAAAAGTCATTCCTTTATCAGCGGGTGAATTACTGACTGCTGTAGATAATGAGAAGTCACAAGTGACAGTCATCATTCTTATTTATGAAGAAGTTGGTATATTGTGTTAATTTATGTTAAGACTTGTTTAATAGAAACTCATCTGATATATATCACATGCCAATAGAGCTGTTTCTACAAATGGTGTGTGGCATCTGCTTTTTGTCATTAAAAAAGTTTTATAGATTTACATAATCTAGTTCAGATCATTCAGTGATACGTACCTATCAGTCAAAGATCATACAATTGGAAGAAATATCATTATGAACCTGTAATTGACAATCCATAGATTCAATTTCTGTTTTGTGAACAATATACATATAAACTTTGAGAAAGAGTAAAAAAGTAAACGTGTTCGATAACATTGCTCAGCAATGCTTGTTTCGGGGCTTTGGTTATATATCTTGCATAATCGGATTAAACTTTCATATTTGAATAAAATTTATTCTACATTCCATTTACTAAAGTATCAAACACATTAAAAAGTTATGTTTGTAAAGGACTGGAAGATTGTTTTGTTTGAGTACTGTACTTTTCTCACAAACTTTCTTTTCCCACTTGGCATGTGATCTGTCACTGCTTTGAAATGAAGGGAACAGGTTCCAGGCAGCTTTTGTGGTCAGGGGTTAGAGACTGGCACTCAGTAGAACATATGGTGGAGAATATGGGTATTTCATGCTTGTTCAATATTGTTTTTGTGGGAATAGGAGTACCTGTATAATACTGGACTTTTTATGTTTGGGCATTGCCAGGATCTGCTGTCCTCCTGTAATAAACTCACTGAGATTTACATCCTAATTGGTTGAGTGTTTTCTTTAACATCTACTAATGATTGAAAATTTTGAAAATTATGTTAGATTACAATTTTATCCTGATGTTTCATTTTGCTTTATTTTGTTTCATTTTGCTTTATTGTTATTTTTAGCTATTGAAGTAATTGAGATAATATTTAATGGGTTTGCTACTAGTGCAAGCTTATACAAAAAAAGTCATGTCATGTGAATTGTTAACTGCTACTCATTGAAGATTTGTTACTTGTCTTTGTTTTCTTTACAGAATTCTCCAGCTTGTGAAGCAATGAATGGTTGTTTGATGTGCCTAGCACAAGAGTATCCAAGTGTTAAGTTCTGCAAAATTCAGGCTTCAGCTGCCACCCTGAGTGGAAACTTTGTAAGTATGATGTCAATACTCTGTGGAATTGATTAGGTTTGGGCATATTACTGATTTTAGCTCACCAGGACCAAAGTTCCATGTGAGCTTATTGCATGGCACAATCATAAACTTTCAAATTATGTAAATAATTAAGAATGTGAAACATAAATATGGTATGTTGCAACACAAAAGGATTCAGATTTCTAATCTTTTTATCACCCCGGGATATAATGCGGAGGGATATAACTATGGGCATGTCAATCCGACCGTCCATCACGTTTCATTTAAGGAGCATTACTCAGAAACCATTCAATATTTTTTCATGAAACTTTGCAGGTCTGTCAAGTACATGCTGAACTGGTGCCTTTTGCTATTTAGAAATTTTAGAAATTTTTATTTTTTATGTTTCCATGACAACAAGATGGTCTTAGGTTCTGTGAGGGTAGGGTTCGTTTCCGGAGCATAACTCATAAACCGTTCAATATTATTTCATCAAACTTTGCAGGTCTGTCATGTACATGCTGAACTGGTGCCTTTTGCTATTTGGAAATTTTAGAAATTTTTATTTATTACGTTTCCATGGCAACAAGATGGACTTCAAACTTCAAACTCTTCTTTTTTTTTACAATTTCCATGACAAGTTCCACCTCGGTTAAAAAAGGTTAGGGTTTGTTTAGATTTAATTATGTCATAAATTCTGCAACAGGGGCGGTGGATATAGCCACGTTAGTGGCAAACACTTGTTGTCTTTGTGTTGTGCCTATGGTTTGTATTTCGTGCATTCTGTGTTTGATAAACATGCGCATAACGTTATTAGACACTTAATGATGTTTTCTCAAAAGAAAACAATGCTAGGTGTCCTGTTGTTCCAAGTAGCCATTTTGAATATTTTACGTGGCCAGCTGGTTAATGAACTGGCTTGCGTTCTATATTCTTTTTGTCTGGTACCCCACGATTGGCATATCCTCGCAAGTATGTTTGTTTTTCATTGTATGTTGTCTTACGTTTGTCATAATAATTGTTTCATAAACCCATGCAGTGGGATAAACAAATTAGAGCATACAAAATCAGGTGGGGCCGCATTGTGATTTTACACTGCTTCATTGCAGATATCATGCCCTCCTGCTCAAAGATCCCCACCCCCTGTGCCTTATTTGTACATCTCAATGCCTCCAGGTTCACCGATGTAAAGAATGTCTACTGCTTTCACCCACAGAGTTCAGTCAGTATCTCTGTGTGTCTATGAAACGCAGAACACAACAGGCCAGGAAACACCGGCGCAGGATGTCCGACCTCTCTGAGAATTTGCCTACGGCCATCTCGGATGACTACCCTCCGACCTCAACTGCTACCTTGATGTCAGTCCCCAAGGTCTCAGTCTCGACCCAGAGCTTTCTGACGACCACTACAGCATCTATCTTTATGGCGGCAGGCCCCTTGACACCTGGCGTGGCGCTTGCTTACCAAATGGCGCCTATACTATCTACCGGACAGACGCTCGGTCTCCCACAGGCGCCCCCACCTATGGCACAGACGCCTACAATACAGATGCCCATGATAGACCAAGTTACCGACTGGCTGGCGGACAGATGGGAGGCAACCACCCCCTCACCCGGCCTAGAGGTCGATAGCAAGACAGCCATCCGTGCGGACCCTACTTCGATCCCGCCTGACCCTCTGATCAGAGACATGATCTCAGGCTTGGACGAGGACTTCAGTAAACTGTCGCTGACTCCGGCCTTCAGGCCCCCACGCTATAGACAAGATGACTACTCAGTCCACTTGCTTCAAGTTGCAGACTGTGCTCATACCCTAGATGAGGACCTGCACCGCATGACAGGATCGAACCACTCCACTTTAGTTCAAGTTTCAGATAAAAAACTTGCCTACGTGGAGACCGAGATTCGCCACACACTCAAACCTCTCTCCCTGATGGCGTCGTCCCTCAGAGCCATACTGCAGGACTGATCAGAGGATAACCCCCATAGATGAGACCACCTAACAACAGTCGAATCCTACCTCCAACATCAGGTGGAACAAATGCGCTCTCATATGCGCGCCGCTCTGATTGGGCTCACAGCCATTAGACGCCTAGGATACCTTGCCTTGATGGACTGGGAGCCTGGCTCTGACCTCTTTAATGGACAGAAATCCAAGACGCACTCCCGGGTCTCAGGCTTCACCTGAGATGAGACAGCTCACAAGGCCCTGGCCAGGGTGCCACAGCCAGCCTTTGCTAAGGCGTCCCTGTTTGGCTCATACCAGCCACGACACAACTACCTCCAGACTCGGGGGCGGGGCTCCACCTCAAACTCTCGGGGCAGAAGAAAAGGAAATTTCTCGGGCACATACCAGTTCCGCCACGGCCACCCCAAGGGAGGTAACGCCGACCACAGGGACTACAAGTGAATCGCTAGACAGGCATGGCTGGGACCTCAAACCCCCAGCCATCCAAGTTGTCGACACTCCAGTAGGTGGGAAACTGGGTCGATTCTGGTAGAATTTGGAGATCCTTGGGGACCCAAATGTCACCAACATAATCCAACACGGGTACAAGCTGACGCTTATAGACGACCCGCAACTCACGTCGCCCCCCCCACTGCGGACACCTACCCACCTACTCAACAGCACGGCGCTGCTCCCAGCCATAACACCGGGCTTCTATTCACCTGTCTTCCTAGTCCCCAAGAAGGACGCCTACCTACATGTCCCTATACATTCTGACAGCCGGAAATTCCTCTGCTTCATCTTCATAGGAGTCCATCAATGGGCGGCCCTCCCATTTGGAATTTCTTCAGCCCCTTGGCTATTCACACGGCTTGCCAAGCCAATAGCCTCGTACCACCATTACCGGGACATTCAGTTTGAGGCGTACATAGACAACTGCCTACTGAATCATTGGGACACTGTCACTCTACTCCGCCACAGGGACTTCACCCTCTGGCTCTTGCACCAGCTGGGATGGAAGATCAACCTCAGGTAGTCAGAGTTGACAACCTCAAATCGCCTTCAGTTCATTGGGGACTCTTCCAGACGCACCTCGATCTCCTCTCCGTACCCAGAGACATGTGGGAGCGCATGCAGGCGCACCTGACTCCAGCTATCCACCTACCATGCACTCTGCGCCAATGGCAAGTCCTCCTGGGCCTCCTTATAGACCGGCAGCCCAGAGCACTTTGGTCAAACGAACAAGGTACCAATATCCGAACACAGGAACATTTACTGTGTAACCCAACATATTCATATATGGATGTCTGCCAGGGAGCCCCTGCTGCTTGTGGCCCCTGGCCCCCCAAAAGAAGGGGCCATTCAAGGGCTGGATCAAACATTGGAGGTACCACATGAAAGTAAGTGTAAATGAACTGGTACATCTCACAGAGTACAGAATGGGCCACGCCAGACAAATCTTCCTCTGCAAAAGGCCTGCCAGACACCCCCAAAGAGGGTCTTAAAATTTGGGCTGGGTTAAACATTGGAGGTACCACATGAAATCAACATAAAATGAACTATTTCACTCTACTAAGAATAAAAACCCCATTGCCAGACAAATCGTCTGCTGCATAAGGCCCGCCAGACACCCCCAAATGTTGACCCTCAATGCACTCAGTGGACACTCTGGTAAAATTTGACCAGAGTATACATTCAAAGTACCAGATGAAAGTAAGTTTAGAACAACAGGTACATGTTACTGAGTACAACACGGCCCATACCTGACCAATTGTCCTCTGCATAAGGTCCTCCAGACCCCCAAGAGAGGGTCCCAAAATTTGGGCTGGGTTAAACATTGGAGGTACCACACTGGGGGGTCGCGCCTTCAGATTATAACAATTGCAATACAAACCAGGGGGGTCCAAGAAACAGGTTCTCGTGACCTGCAAGTATGATCATGTTAATTCTAGTTCAAGTGGGAAATCACGCCATTAAGATAATTACAATGCCAAGACAAACAAGGGTGTGTCAAAGGAAGGTTTCTCACGACCTTCATGTATGATCATGTTTATTCAGTTCAAAGTGTTTTATGATTTGATAAATGCTTCAAGTTATATTGTGATTATAACGTCAGTAGCACTATTATTAAGATTTCATATTTGCATTCAGAGGTTGGCAGAAAAGAAAAGGCTAGGTGTGGTTTGGAAACGGCTTTTCTTTTAACAAAAGAATTCACATTTGCTTGAAAACACAGCTCTATGGTAACAATGATATGGGAATTTATACAAAATTCAGTCAATCATGACAGATCAACAATTGCTTGTTTAGAATTTTGTGTTATGGAAAACACCCTGAATGGATCAGGTTAATGCAACCTAAATTTATTGTGTATGGCTTTCCCTTCTTTATTGAGGGTATTCAAAAAAATATATATATATATATATATATACACACACACACACACACATATGAACACTAGGTCATCCTGGGATAGAAGTCTAAACACATTTAACCGTGGCACAGCTCAAGCGCCAATATCATGACTCTCTGTCTAGTGTAAGACGTTTATTTAAACAGATAGATGGCAAATCTGAGACGTAAGGCCTTGTGAACATTTAGATATATAGTGGAGGTTTCATAACAGATATTTGAGTATTGAAATCAAAACCATGTCACATTATGAACATACATTTACATTTAACAACAAGAACAAAATCATAAAACATGATGGGTAATTACATTTCACATTTGGTGGTGCGATAGTTTTGACGAGGTGAATATCAGTAACGGCCCTTCTCTTTTGAACAGAAAAATATTTTTGTATCCAACTGTGACACTCCGAGAAAAGTTGTAAAGATCAGGACGAAAATACATCAAGAATAGAACATTCATCTTTTCGTGTCACCAAACCCTGTTCATCTCTTTCCGTGACCTGACAAACTTGATATTTTCACACAGGTCTGTGCCACGATTTTGTTAGGTTTCTCGATACGATAGACTATCGGGACCGACCATAAATATGGAAATATTTGGCCGGAATTCAGCTTTTTAGATGATAAAACTTGCTAAATAAACGGAGATCATAGGTT